CAAATGACGAGGAGGACCATCATTCGGCGGTGGACAAACCCCCCTTGAGCAAATCTCCCCTTCGTGAAAACGGCCTAGGACCGAAACCGACGGACCCAGACCCGCAAAAATGACGGCCGCGACGCCCTCTCTCAAATCGAAGACGGCCAGTTCCTTAGTCGACGTGTCAGGGTAGGTCTATCAACCTCTGAGTAATGTCAGCTTGTGATAACAAATCCGTGGGGGTGCGCGTGTTTAAGAAAATAGTTCCCCTGCTCAGGCGAATCGCGGGGTGGCGCTTCCATATTGAAAGTCAGCGGGGCGGCGCCGATGAGTAGTTAAAAGGAAGTATAGCGCCCCGCGGGGTTTATTCATCAGCCCGGGGGAGGAGGGGGGTGTCTGGCCATTTGTGAATCACAAGCTGACATTGCAGCCGGTCATCGTCGCAACCGTGTGAGTAACCTGGACACGTCGGTTTCCTGCCGTGAAGATGTGGACGCTGTTTTTTTTCTGGCACCGCGCAGATTCTTCAATGTTGGATGCCCTCCGCATCCCAGCAAGGCAAGTCTTTCAAGATTGGCCTGGCTCTGGCCGCCAGTTGCTGTCTTGTCCCCTCTCCCTCCAACCTCTTCTCCTCCCCGCCCTTGCCAGGACAGTGGGAGACACCTCCCTCGCACTTCCGCTGAAGGAACAAGCTTTGCAACAATCGCTGAGGAGCCACCTCGCGCGACCCCCCGCCGCCCCCCCGGCCTTCCTGTTGAAAAAGCGGTCCCACAGAAGTGGGGCCAGACAACACCTTGAGCCCATAATCTCGGACGTACTGCCTGCCAATGTTCAGGCTGGGGTGTGGAGGAGGAATTTTATTGTTTCTAGCTCGGGGGCTGCTGCTGCAGATTGCTCCTTCAACCCTAGCTGGGGCTGAAGCCCTTCGGGGCGAGCCCGGCACCCCCGGAACGCCCTCGACGCTGCGCAGCTGATGGAAGCCACCCCAGGTGCCGGAAGCTTCCGAAGACTACGGGGAAGCTCAGAACCCGGCTGGAAAAACTCGAGGCACAGAACCCGAGCGTTTTGCCCCTGCCGCTGGCCCCCGCCGCGGGCGCGCCTGGAGCCGAAGCGGACGTCCAGGCCCTGCGCCGCCGCCAGCTCCGCAAGCACGGCGCCCTCGTCGGCGAAGAAGCGGAGGGCGCCGCCCGAGCCTCGTGGCTGGGAGCGCTGGCGCAGCGTGCGGCGGCGGCGGCTCCGGCGACGCGCGGTGGCCCTGCGAGCTGACCGCGCGTCGCTCCGCTCCGCGGGACCCGGAGGCGACGACAGGGGCAGAGGACGGCATTACACGCGATCGCTGTGGAGCCTCGCCGAAGACGTGGACCAGCGGCGCCCCTGGACGCACGTGTTGCTACCCTCTGGGCGATGCGCCCCCGTCGTCGCTGCCGAGGAACGGGGGGCTGGGAAAGGCTCGGAACGCGGATGCTCGGGGCCTGGGGTGTGCTCGGCGCGTGGCGCCGAAGCGCGGTGGGCCAGAAGTGGCGGCGCGACGCGCTCAACAAACCTTCCTGACCGTAGCACGCCCGAGACGGGTTCGGAAGAATTGGGCACGATGCCCCCCCCCCCGCCGGAGGGGAAGGACTCTCCAGGTCACTGCGGGCAAACGTGGTCGGCAAAAGAAGAGCTGGCCGAAGGCCCCTGCTTGGCCCTTTAGTGGTCAGCTGCTTGCCCGAATCATCGCCCATCGCGAGCTCGTTCTCGCCGCCCCTCGGAGAAGATGGGCTCTCGGGCCCGGGCCGCGAAGAGCGCGGCGCGATCGCCTGCGCGCCCCATGCGGTCACCCTGCGTTTGGGGGCACGGGGGAGTGCCGAACTCGAGCAGGGACCGACCGTCCTGGCATTCCTATAGTCCTACCACGAAGCGTTCCTAGAACCCAAAAGCGCTCTCAGAGGGAAAAAAGGTGTCCTTCGAACACCAACCCGATGTGCTGAGACAAGACACTCCCAGCCAGAAATGTCCTAGGAACATGTTGTGGGAACCACAAGTCGGGAGCGGCCAAGAGGGGGGTGTCCAAGAGGGGGGGGTGCAAATCATGACCGGCGGCATGTGCGCGGCCCAGCGTGGGGGCCTGGGACGTAATAAAACAAGAAGAGGCGCCATGAAATCTGAAGAAATATCATGGCCCACGCCATGATATCCACCCCCCCCTAATCATCACCCCCCTCTTTTCCGCTCCCGAGGAGCGCCGGGACGCTTCACCCCTGCTTGACGAGCTGGCCGCCCAGCGGAGAAGCAGCGGCCGCCGTCCGAGGCCGACGCTGCGGCCGCGGTGGGGCGAGCGCCTCCCTGCCTCCTCCTCCTCCCTTTCCTCCTCCTCCTCCTCCTCCTCCCTTTCCTCCTCCTCCTCCTCCTCCTCCTCCTCCTCCTCCTCCTCCTCCTCCTCCCTTTCCTCCTCCTCCTCCTCCCCCTCCCTCCCTGCCTCCAGCGGGCGCCCCCCTGCGGCGACGCCGACGGCACGCCCTGCTCAGCCGGGACGGCA